ACATTGGTTTTATACGAAGTAACACATGCAGCATGCCTACCGACTACGAATTTAAGTGGAAAATTCTGGTTTAAAGTTAATTTTATTGCTGAAAATATAATTTGATTGAATTATTCTTATTTTAAGACTACTGAAGTTTCTGTGATACACCAAAACAAATTAAGTGTCCCCTTAATAGAGGTTAAATATGTGTTGATTTGAACATATGAAAAAAGTGCCACCATCCCCTTAATAGGTGTTGGCTGTTGGCCGAGTGTTAAAAGATTTATTTCCCGCACAGTGATGTTGTCAGGATCTGCCCGACAGGGGGAGGTGGGCTAAATGCCTCGACGGGGTGGGGGAGAACTAAGCGAGCTTCACTTGGCTGGGGGGCAGGGGCTAACGGTTGAGGTCTAGAGGGCGAAGCCCCCTGGAAGCTGAGGACATTTGAAGAATTTTAGTGAATTTTTATTAGTTATTTGATACGCATCATGCTACCTTAATACCACTTCATTAAATTAACTTCCAACACCTTTTTTTTTAAATAAAACAAAAAGAAAAAAGAGTATGCAATTTAACTAACTAACTTTTTTCAAATCCGTTTTTCAATTTATGTAATTAAAACAACACCGTATTACATTACAATACTATCCTCCCATCATGGCGAAATCCAAGTTTTTCATAATCCATGTGATTGTGAATTATCAACAACAAAATTACGATTAAGAGTAATGTCTTACTGTAAATTGACTACCAATTTGTGACATTATACTACGATAAATTAAGAAAACACAGTGTCACAGGGAACGTCACAGTACAACCTTATAATTTTGAAGTTCTAAATTTTGGAAATTTGGCCTAAAATCTGTAAACTACGAGGAAGAAAACACAATGTCACAGGGAACGTCACAGTACAACCTTATAATTTTAAAGTTCTAAATTTTGGAAATTTGGCCTAAAATCTGTAAACCACGGGGTTGCTTCCCCGATCGAGATGTATTCCAAGCATCATGAGGATATACAAACGAGCATTTGTCATAGTAGGACGTAAACCATTTTTAATTAGTCTCATTGAACAGTGGTGGATCCAGAAATTTTGAAAAGGGGGGGGGGGATTTGTTTCTTTTTTTCTTACTGCAATACATAACGTTATTATGAACTGACATTTTAAAAAATAGTGTCAAAATAGCGTTTAGACACTTGAATTCTGCTGACTTACGTTCCAACAGATGTTTGAACGTAATTAATCCACTGTGAAGAATATCTGTTGTTTCATAAGTTTCTTTCAATGTGAAAAGTAATTTATACGGTAGTCGTACAATAAAAAGGCACGTAAATTATTATTATTATTATTATTATTATTATTATTATTATTATTATTATTATTATTATTATTATTATTATTGTTGTTGTTGTTGTTATTATTGTGATGAAAAGTTAATGTTTCTCAC